TTTAGTTTTAAGCTTATTTATGAACAACTCAACTAAATAAATTAACGCAAGACTTAAACTTAATTTGCATTTGTAAACAAAAAACTTTTTCACCGGTTTTATCGATAAATTCGTGTCAAAAAGTCAAAGTTTTACCTATTAAAACTTCCAATCCGAACTTCGTCACCTTCTTCGTGTATTTCGGAAACAGCTTGCTTGATTAGTTGTGAAATTTCTTTGTTTGCTTACGGCAGCAAACCGGGAAGGCATTTTGCTCGCAACTTACGCGAGTTTGGCGTCGCTCGCTCGGAGGAACTGGAGGTGAATCAGTGAATAGTGCAGGATATTCACTGATTGAGTAGCCAATCAGAGCGCGCGAAAAACGCTATCCACTGTTTTAGTATATACTAAATGCATTTACTAATTCAGAGGTGTAGGGAGAATTTTTAAAAAGGGGACACTCAACTCCAATATGCCCCTATACTTCTAAAATAGAGATCCCAAAAAGAGGAAAAAGTGATACAAGATTTTTCATATTGTGTTTCGTTGATGTCCTAGTACCCCTGAAAATGCTCTTCTTTTACCCCAGCGCGCAGAAACTAGAGTTCAGGGGGCAATTGGTTCCATAACTTAGGAGCCGCTGCGGAAAAAGCCCTATCACCATACGTCTTTAACCTAGTCCTAGGCACGGCTAGAAAATTCTGGGAACTAGAACCAAATAATCGTGGACCATTAGTATAGCGTAAAAGTTCGGATGGGTAAGTTGGTGCCAAGCCATTTAGACATTTGTAAACTAAGAGTAAAATTTTAAAATGTATGCGATAACCCAGCGGAAACTAATGAAGTTTGAACACGATAGGAGTGATATGGTCAAACCGCTTAGATAAAGTAAAAATGCGTGCAGCAGTGTTTTGTATAAGTCTTAGCCTGTTTAACAGGTGTTTAGGAAGACCATATAACAAAGAGTTACAGTTATCGAGTTTAGAGCTAATAAATGCATGTACTAAAATTTGAGAGGTATCTTCACTTAAGTACTTCCTGATCTTAGCTATGTTCCTTAAATGATACTGACAGGAAACGCAGATTTTGTTAACATGGTCGGTTAAATCAAGACACTGATCTATAATCACCCCCAGATTTCGGGCGGAGGGTTTGGGTTGGATCTTCTCATCAACCACTTGGATAAACTCTACAGAAGGCCTGCAACGAAATTTTGAGCTGATGAGAACAAGTTCAGTTTTATCCTGGTTGAGTTTAAGACCATTGTTCACCATCCAACAATCAATGTCGTTTACACAGCATTCGACACGACGCTTAGCCAAAGAGAGATCATAGGTAGAGTCAGTTCTAAACGATATATACAGCTGGGTATCATCAGCGTATACATGATACTGTAACTTGTGGAACTTTATGATATCAGCAATGGGTGATGTATGGAGGAGATAAAGAAGAGGACCCAGAACAGATCCTTGGGGTACACCGCGTTCTAGAGAGCGCTGTGTTGACCTGCAGTCATTGACCCGAACAAACTGCGTGCACGACGTCAGGTATGACTCAAACCATGCAGCTGCAGTACCGTTCACTCCGAAGCGGTCATGCAATCTTTATAACAGTATCGAGTGATCGACCGTGTCGAAGGCAGCTGACAAATCCAATAAAAGAAGTATAACAGACTCATTGTTGTCAATAGCACACAGGATGTCATTCTGGACCCTTACTAAAGCTGTCTCGGTGGAGTGAAAGTTCTTATATGCAGACTGAAACGTCTTATCTAAGTGGTGCGCCATGACGTGATCTGTGAGTTGTATGGCTTCGAAACTACTTTTAAGTTCGAGATAGGACGAAAGTTTTGGAATTGTTCAAAGTCAGCATCAGATTTTTTCAATGTGGGCAATAGTGTAGCAACCTTCAGAGCATCGGGCACAACACCAGTCGATAAGGACAGATTGATGATCCTCGTAATAGTAGGAAGTAATACGGTAAGACAGCCTTTCAAAACTACCGCAGGTAGAGGATCAAGTTCACAAGATTTAGATAGTGGTTTCCTTGAAAACTTTTTTATGAATAATGAATGAATGAATAATGATATTTGTATAATTGCACTTTCTCTCTGAAATATTGAAGAGAATTTTATGCTTCGGGATATTGCTTGTCTCTGCCCTTTTTGTTCCACTCATTTATGCTTTATGGTAATTTCTTGCTTCACATGCATTAATTATTTGAACATGTGTTCGATTATTAAAAAAGCAAAGAGGACTTTTGCTTTGGACATAATGCTTCAAACAAATCTGCAGGACTTCTTGAAATCCTATTTTTTTCCACAACCTGCAGATTGGCCTTCCCAGTTGTACACAAGGCAGACTGTTTACGAAACTTTACAAAAGTTCTACCACAAAAACTGCACAAAGACTTTCACTTCAACAACTGATCACTATTACCATATGGCAAGTTATACGGCTCATTCATCTTATGTCCCAGTTAACCATATTCGAGCCCTCCATCAATTTTGTCTCTCATACCATGCATTGGACCACTGCACGTTTCCTTAAATGGACGTGAAATGCTATTCAATGACTTCAGCCCTTTTTCCGCAATCAATTGTGAACAACTTTGCCCAAAATGTAAACTTGGCAAACATCCTAAGCCTTGGAGACTGTTTATGGAGGCTGGTTCCACAAAAGAGACAGTGTGTTAAGGACAAGTTTAAACAGAGGAGGCTATTACCGTGTTCCCAGCGTGCCTTGCGCCTATTTCTGCGTGATTGTTTCCGGTCTGTGTGATGAAAACATAAATTTTACTTAAAGTTTCGGAAAAATTTTCGCCGCATTAAGGATGAGGTATGCAGGTAAATAGGTCTTAGCGTAAGTTCTCATCATTCATTAGGAGGACAGAATGATTTATTGATCAAATCATTTTGTTTTCTGTAAGATTTGACCGTGTGACCTTTCTCTAGTTATGCGTCGCTGCTTATCTGTTGTATGCATGGTGTTTTGAATTATTCATTTCGGTACTCAAAGGAGGAGTCGATTGAGAATTGAGACACAAATCCACTCTATTATACTTTAAACATTCTAAAGAACCCAATGGGCTCCTTTGGATTCCACATTTCCCCAGAAAATTTCCATTTTAAACGAGAAGTATTTTTAGCGCTATCATGATGAAGAGACAAGCTCCCGTTACGCGCGGAGTGCATTCACAACAAGCTTTCAATGAAATAGCATTCATTTACTTTTTCGTATATTCAGGTAGGAGGTTACTGTAACTGTAGTTACTGTTTGACGGTAGTAGTGTTCGAGGTCAACAGTGTTTGAAACTGCGAAAGAGGCTTACATGTCGGTATTTACGCCGGTACAGTAATATATCTACTGGTCATGTTAATCATCCAGGTAATCGTGGATTTATTATGAATCGCGTACCGAGTTTCTCGCAGCCAGATGCTTTGATACCTCGTATATTCAATGCATATTTTACTACAAATTACGTAGCGCAGAGTTTGAGAAGTATTATTGAATATCTATTTCATCGCGGACCCCCATAACAAGGCCAGGGTTTATCAGCTTTTATTTACATACAGTCAAACAATCTTGATGAAATACTTAAACAGTATACAAAATCTCAGACCTGAGAAGGGCATCTATAGCTACCTCGTGAAATTCTATCGTACAATCGATACAATTTACACGGAGTATACTGGATTATTTCTTGTATCTCTCTTGTGCCCTTGTGTTTCCTCCGCGGCTACACTTTGAAATGAGTCACGCGCTGGGATTTGGCCTTTGATAATATAGTTTGACCACAATGCATGACGGGAAGATGGTAATATCCTCCTTTAGTTAAAACAAAGCAGAGAAATATAATACAGGACACTACTGAACTTGCTGGATAACTATTTACCATTGGTACTCAGTATATATTCAGTTTGTTTTAAGCTTAACGATTTCATTGAATATTTTGAGACAATGATCACGGTGTGGGTAATGTTTACTTGCCTGCTGAGGCATGACTACAATAAGGCTCTCCTCATTTGGTTAGCCATGGTCACAAACTGGGGGAAGAACAACCCTCAACTCTGCAAACTGATCTGGAAGAACTTGGTCATCGTTGATGAATATCCTGTGGAGAATGTACACAACGTAATCAGATCAAAGACAAATGACCATGACAGTGCTGAAAAAAATGCAGGAGACAGCAAAGGCTACATTTCAGAGCAGACAAGCTCAAAGCAACTGTCGAAAATACTTGCAGCTAAGAATTATTCCATGTTTTCACAAAAGCACATTAACAATTTGAAATTACGTTGTGCTAAACTGATTGCAGTCTGTTTTCCAACATGACAAAATTTCCCAACAATGTCTGATTTACTGGATCAGGAAAAAAAATGTGATTAGCCAAATGTCTTTGGCAAAGGACAGATAATGAAACTTGTCATGAAGAGCTCCCTTTAGAGTATGCTTCACAAAATCAGCCAAATTCAAATAAAAGGTGTGATATTCCTGGTTTCTTGGTAAGCAGTGATAAGGAACGGAGGGTTTTCGAAGGATGTACCCATTCCTTCCACTTAGAATGCTTGGGGGATATGGACATTTGCCTCTTGTGCCAGTCCTTCCTCCAAAATAAGGCAAGATCCTTAACAGAAACAGCAGAAAGTGCCATTTTACATCCAAGGAAACAATCTTCCACAAAACAAGACAAGCAACCAAATCATGTCGTCAACGATCAGAGTGATGATAATGAAATAGAGTGGCAATATTGCTGAAATCCCAAAGGCGGAGAGAGGGATTACATTTATCAATGAAAGAATAAAATCCTTGCCGGCTGTTAATCCCCCAGCACATGTCACCTCGTCATTTTCGACACCTACATTGTGATCCTTCTGTTAGAAGTAAAAGGGCTTGCTCTTATTCACGTACACAATTATGAAAGCGGTTCTCATCAATCACACCTCCAAGGAAAACCAACATGTTCGCCCGCACTTCGTAGCCATTGGTTACTGCTAGTCCGTATACTACATTATGATTGGAAAACCATCATAGGTTACAGCAAAATAAACGGGTTGTACTTTCCGAAAATATTAAAAAAGGCGTCATATTACACCCGTTACCTCCCCATAACGGCAACCTCTCCAGAACGGCCACTTTCTTCTGTCACCAAAAGGCGGCCGTGGTGGAGTGGTTCAACTGTAAACGTTAACAAATACAACGCTAAACGGCGAGAGGAGCAATACAAACGTGTGTTCGTAATCCGAGGCGTAATCTTATACGTTGAATAAATCGATATTATTAACACCATTTAACCATAGTTAAATATTACTTAATTTATTTCTTGCACAATAATCAGGAGTGTTTGGGCCGTATCTGGGCAGCTTAATGTACTTCCATCTTGGGAAAATACAGCTGCCTAAAGTCCAGCCCAAATGGAAAGTTAATTAGTGATCTGCAGCAGGTTCATTGAATTTGTAAGGAGTGGCGAACTGAAACTTCATAGTGTGCGTTTGTGCAATCTTGAGGGGCATTTCGAGGAACAACTGAAGGGAGAGCGAGTGTACCGTTCATAAAAGTCACTGGTCCATCGGCTTAGGAGTTTGATATCATAGTCGGTTAAGCCAGCGAGGGAGGTGGACGTTGCTCCTTCGATTCGAACACTATGATCACTGTAGTGGGAGGGGTCAATATTGACTAAGCGTAGTAAGAGAGAGATGAAGGAGACGAGGGATATTTGCTGACGGGGCGTTGGTCGGACAGGTTAAACAAGAGCCTAGTAATCTTGTAGAAGATACCACAGCGATGGTGAAGAGCGAGGTTCTTTTGCATAGCGCAACCAGCACAGACGGAGCGTCGCGAATGAGCAGTATAAAGGGTCAAATCCTGTCGTCGCTGATCCGTTTAAGATATTATAAGTCGGAGGGAGAGATACTCCTTGCCAGAAGAGAAGAATGTAAACGTGCGTCAGAGCAGGTGAGGTGAATTGACGGATCGAAAAGGTCTCGAGAAAGAACTGTAAATTCGCCTGCGCTTAGTATAAGAAAATGACCAGCGGTGATGGCGGCCCATCGCACCGTGTCATCGTCACACGTGGCGATGATAAAAGCCTGAATATCGGAGAGAATGTCGAATGTAAGCGGCATCGTTTTCTTCAGTGCCGAAAAAATGTTTTTACATACCACGCAAAGTCTGTTTTAATCGCAGTCCAGGTTGAAGTGGATAAGACAGACCGTGTGATATATGCAGAGAGCGCACGGCAGCGAGATAAACATTCATTGATTGTGGTTTGATCCTTTGGGCGGCATGTGTAGCAAATATGCTGGTAAGGGGACCAAGGGAAAATCCTGGCTAAGTTAAAATAGAAAACATAGAGAATACTTCATGGAAAGTGCTGGCGTACGGTATTTACACACGAGTTGTTGACGTATCAGAAATCGAACGAGTGAGCGCAGCGAACGAGTAAGATTTCTGATACAAAAACAACGAGTGCGTAAATACATATGACAACGAAAACGAAGTATCAGCTTTTTAGTAAAAACGTTTGTTAAAAACATAAATGACGGTGAGGATATGAGGTAATCCAAGAACTATAAGTAATCTTAACTGTTTGTTCTCAATGCACAATTAAAAATGAGTGAATTTAAGTAAAATGGCCGGTTTCAATATAACCTTAAGCTTAAATGAAAGGCAAAGTAGCTCCGACAAAAAGCACAACAGAAGCTTACTTCTCATTCTGTTTATCCCTTTCCGCTGTTGTTTCGCCGGCTCTCTACCGTTTTCTTTATCGACAGTGAAACAAACGAAACTATTCTACTCCATTTCCGAAATGTTTATCAGTTTTGTAGCGAGAAAAACTCTTTGAGTAAAACTTTTCTCGTTGAATGTGTGCGAAGCGGCGCTGCAAGCTGCAATAAAAGGCGGGAATTTTGGCGCGAAACTCACACACCTCTGTGGCTTTTGATTGGACGTATCATTTTTCTCACACGTGAAAAAACATCGTTCGCGATTCTGATTGGACGTATCATTTTTTCACGTGTGAAAACCATCGTTCGCTCCTCTGATTTGCTAAAACTAATTTGCGTACGAAAATTTACGACATAGCTTTTTGGTGAGTATTTCTCAGTATGTATATAATAAAAACATTTTTTTATAGAAAAAAAGTACAAATTTAGAAAAACATGGCTGTCGAAATTCGGACGCCTTTAAAATGTTCTCGGATAACTTTTTACGAAAAGCCGCCAAGTGTGGTGGTCATTGAACGGTTTTCATGACGTGAGGGGGTTGGGGGGTTCTGAGTAGGCTTAAATCTTGTCTTATCATTTTTTGGCCTTATGAGGACACCAAGTGGGTCGCATTAAAAGGCTGATTTTTATCAGTGAAGGAGTCGGAATCGTAAGCGGAGTCGTAAGAGTACCTATGCGATGTGAAAATCAAATATCAGAGTCGTAAGTAGAGTCATAAGAGCGATGGAGTCGGAAGAATCAGAACGTTTCCTTTTTCTTCCGGCTCCGCTTATGACTCCGTCGCTTCGCTCTGCTTATGATCTGGTGAAAACCAGATTGTCGGAGTCGGAAGTAGAAGCAGAAGGAAAATTCAATCTCAATATTAGTTCCCACGTTTTGTGACTACTTTAGTTATTCCGCTTCTGCTTGCGACTTCAACGACCTAGTTTTCATTTGATCGTAAACGAGAGAATCTTAAGTGGGAGATTAGAACGCTGTTTTCACTAGTTCGTTAAGTCCTACGCTTCTGATTACGACTCGGATTCCGTCGCTTGTGAAAACCAGCTTGAAGAGAATGGATGACAACTCTCCCTCTTTGGGTGAAATCGAAAAGAAAAATATACTTAGATGATAATGAGAATTTTAAAAAAATATTTACGCAACCTCGACCCCAGGGCCTTTTCCCACATCTCTCATTTTCTCAGGGAAATTCCTGAGAACGAGGTTCATATTTGCGTCAATAGTGAACTTTAGCATTAACGACGTAGACGGCAGCAAAATTGTCATTTTTAGAATGTATTCTCGTTTTTTCAAACTGTTTTGCGTTTATTTCAAATGTAGGCGAATTTCCCTGAAGTTGATTTCTTGGGAACCACACTCAAGTTTAGAAAGAGAAAGAAAAATTCTTCTTCGCTTGTTTACGTCCTCAATAAAACGTGAAATTTGGCATTTTCAAGTTGTAGTCGTGCAGGTACCGTAAAGAAATGTACAACACTTAAAGCGTGAGGCACGTGCAAAGTTGTTGTTTTGCTTGATAAACCTTTTGCTTTTTTGACGTTCTCATAGCCGTCGCCGTCGTCGTCGCTTAAGCTCCCTAATGCTTCTTGCTTGTCTGGGACCGGAATAGTTGACATTGCAAGTAATATGTTTTCTTCCTGTTCTAGGTAACCTGACAATTAAAATACCAGAATGTATTCCACCTCTTTTCGCTGGTGAAAACAAACGTTTTTACTGCTTCGTTGAAGGAACGCTCCCAATAACAGTCAGGTGGCTAAAGAACAACACGATTATCAAGGAGAGAAAAAGTCAAAGAGACAGACAAGTAAAACTCACTCTTGATTTTCGCGAATTGGACTTGCATCACTCTGGGAATTATACTTGTGAAGCTAGAGACCGCTATTACCAAACCATGAGACGCACTATCCTCGTCAGCGTTTCATGTAAGCATTTATTGTTAACAAGGTTGTTTTCGTACCCATCTCCGTTTGCTTTAAAAAGGTCGTAACTTGACATCGAATGACCATTTAATTGACTACAACAAAAAGAGAAAAAAGGGGGGACATACAAGAAAAGAAATCTATCAAGTGAAAAAAATTCTTAAACAAACGGATCGTCTGAAAGGTAATCCTCTTTTCCTGGAAGGGAATTTTTTTCCAAAAGGTAATGCCAGATTCCAACCGATTTCCATTATTTTTTTTCAAACCTATCCTATAAACGTGACTCCCGAGCGAAATTCACCGGTCCTTAATGTTGTTTAGCATTGACAGCCCAAACCGTTTACTGACTGGCCTGCCCATGGTACAAGCTACGCGAATTTTCTAAGTCCTTGAGTAACCTGGCGTGTCTCTGTAAATGCGGTTTTCGGTCATTAATCCATCTCATACACACTAATCACGCGATAAAAATCATATTTGGGCCATATCCGGGTAGTTTAATGCTCTTCCATTTGGGGAAAATACAGCTGCCTCAGGAGGGTGGGCGGGGAAGCTTAGTCCAAACCCGACGGAACAAGCGAAAAAAAATTCAGGCTTTGCAAGCGAAATGCGCGTTATTGCAACGTGTTTTTTGATTGTCAAACAGGTTCGCAGTCATGGCCAATAGTTGCGAAACGTTAACAAATACAACGCTAAA